CTCTTGTTACCCAGGCTGGAGTGCAATGGCGCAATCTCGGCTCACCGCAACCTCCGCCTCCTGGGTTCAAGCAATTCTCCTGCCTCAGCCTCCCGAGTAGCTGGGACTACAGGTGTGCGCCACCATGCCCAGCTAATTTTTGTATTTTTAGTAGAGATGTGGTTTCACCATGTTGACCAGGATGGTCTCGATCTCTTGATCTCGTGATCCACCCACCTCGGCCTCCCAAAGTGCTGGGATTACGAGCGTGAGCCACCGCGCCCGGCCTTTAAGTTTTATTACAATTCTATAAAGTGAACTAGGTAGTGGCGTTGCCATCTTTTCTGTATTTGGTAATAACTCATATTGAATACCAAGTATTTAAGCAGTTATTATATGTATCAGGCGATGTGCTAATTATGCTTAACATATACACTGTCTTATATTTTCAATAACAGGCAAATATGATTACTATACTCACACCTTATGAGTTTAGGTAACCTGCTAAAGATCATACCAGGATTTCAAACTTGTTTTTTAACTTGAGTTTATGTTAACATGTTGTTTTACTGGGTCAGAATTAGCTGTTCATACCCCAGCAAAATATTAGTAACTTTTAGAAGATGGGTAAAAGATACATAGGAATTCACTATATTAAAACTGGTCTCTTCATTTTTGTTAGTCTGAGATTTTCCATAATAAAAAGTCTGTAATGTAACTGTTTCTTCAAAGTTTAAAAGAACTTAATAATAAAACTTAAAGGCTGCACAGCCTTCTGCCGATGTTTTTTTTTTTTTTTTTTGAGATGGAGTTTTGCTCTTGTTGCCCAGGCTTGGAGTACAATGGCATGATCTTAGCTCACCACAACCTCTGCCTCCTGGGTTCAAGCAATTCTCCTGCCTTAGCCTCCTGAATAGCTGGAATTACAGGCATGCTCCACCATGCCGGGCTAATTTTGTATTTTTAGTAGAGATGGTTTCTCCATGTTGGTCAGGCTGGTCTTGAATTCCTGACCTCAGGTGATCCGCCCGCCTCAGCCTCCCAAAGTGTTGGGATTACAGGCGTGAGCCACCGTGCCCGGCCAATGTATCATTTTTAAATTTTCTCTCTCATTTTGGTTTTCTAATTCTTAGCCAATTTTGGCTTTTTTCCCCACCGCCCAAGAAAAGTAATGTATTTCATTAGCTTTTCCAAATTAGTTGTTTGGTTCAATAGACACTGATGTAGCATCTATCTATATTCCATATACTGTACTAAGGAAACAAAGATGAATAAAAACACATAATCCTGTGCTCAAGAGGGTTATAGTCTAAAGGAAAAAAAGTGAACATTATCATACACTGAATGTTTGTGTATTCCCCAAATTCACATGTTGAAGCCCTGACTCCCAATGTGGCTGTTTTTGAAGTAAGGGGGTAATTAACTTAAGTGAGGTCATTAGAGTGGGGCCTTGTTCTGACAGGCTCAGTGTCCTTATATGAAGAGATACAGAAAGGACACGTGAGGGCAAAGCGGCTATAAACCAGAAAGAGCACTCACCAGAAACCAAACTGGCAGGGACCTTGATCTTAGACTTCTAGCATTCAGAACTATGAGAAAATAATTTCTGTTATATCACACAGCCTGTGGCATTTTTTATGGCAGCCCAAGCAGACTAATACAAGCAATTATTTAAAAATATTATGCTTTATTTGATATATCATTATGCATATATTTTAAGGTGGGAATATAAGGCGGCATGGTGACTACGAAACATGGTATGGGGCCAGGTGTGGTGGCTCATGCCTGTAATCCCAGCACTTTGGGAGGCTGAGGCAGGAAGAATGCTTGAGTCTAGAGGTTTGAGACCAACCCAGGCAACATACCAAGATCCCATCTTTACCAAAACAAATATACAAACACTGTACAGTGTTTCCTCAAAAAAGTAAAAATAGATACATAAACTCTACTTCTTGATATATACCCAAAAGAACTGAAAGCAGGGACTCAAACAAATATCTGTACAGCCATGCTCACCGCAGCATTTATTATTCACAAAAGCCAAAAGGTGGAAGCAACCCAGGTGCCCATCATCATATGACTGGATAAACAAAATGTGGTATACGCATACAATGGAATATTATTCAGCCTTAAAAAGGAAGGAAATTGTAACACATGCTACAATATGGATGAACCCTGAGGACATTATGCTAGTGAAATAAGCCAGGTAAAGGACAAATACTGTATGATTCCACTTACGTGATGTACCGAGAGTATCAAATTCAGAAGACAGAATAGTGGTTGCCAGAGACTCAGGGAGGGTAGAAAAATAGAGTTAATTGTTCAATTGGCACATTGTTTCAGTGAGGAAATGAAAAGTTCTAGAGACAGATGGTGACAGCTGAACAATTTGAACACATTTAATGCTACTGAACTGTGTATTTAAAAAAGGTTAAAATGGCAAATTTAATGTTATATATGTTTTTTCACCATTAAAAAAACAAAAAAAGGATGATATTAAGAGTATTTTCAGCAGAGAGAATAAAAGATGAGTAACAACACAGGGACATGAAACGTTTATGGCAATAACTATTCTCTGCTCCTACCATAAAATGTAAAAATATCCATCATGGTTTAAACTTCTCTGTTTCCTTTCCTAAATCCTCCATTTCAATTTCTCCTTAAGTCTACATCTTATTTGCCCTGTTGATTTGACAGATTTGTCTATTTTATGGTATTTCCCAGGCACACAGAGAAAAGCTCTTAGATAACAGTTCCCTAACATTTGCTTTTATCATTATTTTAAAAATAGCTTGAGATACGATTCACATACCATACAATTCACTCATTTAAAGTGCATAACTCAAATGTGTTTTAGTATGTTCACAGGGTTACACAAGCCATCACAATCTAATTTCAGAACGTTCTTGTCCTTCCTTCCACTAAAAAAGAACTGATTAGATATCAATCCCCTTTTCTCCTTCCTTCCCATCCCAATTCTAGATAACCACTAATCTTCCTGTCTTTATAAATTTGCCCATTCTGGACATTATAAATAGAATCGTGTAATATGTGGTCTTTTGTGACTAACTTCTTTCATTAGCATAGTGTTTTCAGGACTCATCTATGTTGCACCATGTATCTACCATTTTTTCTGTATCCCTCTTGTTGTACTCTTCTAATTCTGACCTGAATTCTTAGTACATCTATTTTTATATTTCAAAACAAAAATGGGCAAGGTGAGGTGGCTTACGCCTGTAATCCCAGCACTCTGGGAGGCTGAGGTGGGCAGATAACTTGAGGTCAGGAGTTGGGAGACCAGCCTGGCCAACATGGTAAAATCCCATCTTTACTAAAAATAAAAAAATTAGCTGGGCATGCTGGCAGGTACCTGTAATCCTAGCTACTCGGGAGGCTAAGGCAGCAGAATCGCTTGAATGCAGGAGGCAGAGGCTGCAGTGAGCTGAGGTCGCACCACTGCTTTCCAGCGTAGGCTACAGAGTGAGACTCTCTCAAAATAACCCCCGCCAAAACAAAAATAAAAACATTTAAGGTTAAGAATTTACCATCGCATATAACTTTTACTATATTGATAAATTCTGATATTGAAGCATTCTTGTTTTCCTAATAGTAATTTTAATTTAACCTAATTTCTAATTTTAACCTAATTTCTAAATTTTAATGGTGTCTTTCAAACTTTTATTTTTAATTTCTAGTTTTATTTTTGTTTTGGTCAGAAAATACAACGTGTACAATTCCATGAACATCTCAAATAGAAAGGTGCAATATTCCATAGTATTCTTATGGAGGCTATCTTATTAAATGTTATTCTCAAATATTTTGTGTCCTTATTTGTTGCCTACTTTATCAGACATTGATAATGGTAAAGTCTTCCAATACAGTTGTATTTACTGATTTCATGTTACTAAAGGTTTCTGCTTTACATTTTATGATGCTGTATTATTCAATACACAGGGATTGTGATTGTAACTATTATTTCTTCGTATGATTTTTTTCCATCAACCTAAAATGACCTTTTGTCTCATATAATTCTTCCTCCTCTAAAGTTATACTTTGCTAACACTACCACCTTATTTTTGTGTTTTCCTGATGTGTCTTTGTCACCTTCACTTTCTTTTGATATTTTCTTGACGCATCTTTTAAGACTTTTTAAGAAAAGAAAGATTAAGGTAAAAAATCTTAATTCATTATTTTTTCCCTCTAACTTGTAAACAGAAAGATGCACAAGGCAGAAGAAATAACTGGAAAAGAGCGGGAAGAAAGGGAGAGTTAAAGTAAGAAAAAAAATATTTCTTTTTTTTTTTTTTTTTTTTTTTTTTTGAGACGACGGAGTTTCGCTCTTGATACCCAGGCTGGAGTGCAATGGCGCGATCTCGGCTCGCCGCAACCTCCGCCTTCTGGGTTCAGGCAATTCTCCTGCCTCAGCCTCCCGAGTAGCTGGGATTACAGGCAGGCGTCACCATGCCCAGCTAATTTTTTGTATTTTTAGTAGAGACGGGGTTTCACCGTGTTGACCAGGAAGGTCTCGATCTCTTGACCTCGTGATCCACCCGCCTCGGCCTCCCAAAGTGCTGGGATTACAGGCTTGAGCCACCACGCCCGGCCAAAAAATTATTTCTTTAAAAATAAAAATTATACTTGATATTTTGGTGGTGTCACTTTTGTACAAACAGAATATAAGCTATGATTTCTCTGTTTTTTGAAGCAAAAATGCATAGTGTTTGACAGTTTTTGTCAACTCTTCTAACACTGTTAGTCCACAATGAAACTGCTCTACACAGCACTAAAAACGTATCAAGAGAACAGAATCAACCAGAAAAAGACTCTAATATCTAAAATCACATGTAACACAAAGGAGGATCCAGGTCAATCAAGGCAAAAATAATTTATGATATTGGGACAACTAATTATCAATTTTAGCATAACACAAAAATGAGAAAATTCTCTATACTATGCTGGGGGGGAATCAATTCTGAAAGTGAAAAAATTTCTAAATTTAAAAATAGAGCAAACCATAAGGAGATAAACAAATAAGATTATTAAACATTCAAAATTTCTGTACATATATTGCTATAATTAAATAGCAACCCAAGAAAAAAATTCCGAGGATACAGACCCAAAAGACAAGTAAGTAAAGAATAACTCTTGATTTAGCTATGTGGCTTTGAAAGAAATGTATGTTAAAAGTTACAATAGACTATAGTCATGTTTCTTATTAGCAGAGATTTATTTTTAAAAGAAATTAACTTGATGGTCAAGAGTGTGGTAAAATAAATACTCATACGTTTCTGTGACAATGTAAATTGGTACAATTATTTTGGATAGACACTCCCGTCCCAAATTGATCAAGAATTTTATGTCAAGAGCTATTTAGTACACATTAAAAAGTTTATAAAGTCAGCCGGGTGCGGTGGCTCAAGCCTGTAATCCCAGTACTTTGGGAGGCCGAGGCGGGTGGATCACGAGGTCAAGAGATCGAGACCATCCTGGTCAACATGGTGAAACCCCGTCTCTACTAAAAATACAAAAAATTAGCTGGGCATGGTGGCACGTGCCTGTAATCCCAGCTACTCAGGAGGCTGAGGCAGGAGAATTGCCTGAACCCAGGAGGCGGAGGTTGCGCCTAGCCGAGATTGCGCCATTGCACTCCAGCCTGGGTAACAAGAGCAAAACTCCGTCTAAAAAAGTTGCATTTATCTATGAGTTATGAATTTTTACCACATACTTTCTCACAAAAATCTAAGTTGTACAAAATTTTCAAAATTCTATTACCTGTCAAAATTAATTTTAATATTGGATAACCGGTAGTATGGAATTTCATTACAAAGAAACATGTAAATGGATAAGGGCAGTGTGTTGGTTTCACCTCCAGAGTCTCTTAACTAGCAGCTATAGAGATATTAGCCCAACACAACAGTGACAGCATCTGAAATGATCACTCTCCTTTTATGCCCCTCTTATATTAATAGTGTTTTGCTTCAGGAAGGAGTCAAAATTTCAATTTGTCAATCCTGTTTCTATTAATCCTACAAATTAGAACAAAGTTTCACATTACGTGGGAGTGGGAATGAAGGTTCCTACTATTCCATGGAAAGTGTCCATAATCAAGAATCATTTGTGCTCATTGTGGGGGGGGGGTGGGGAATAAAAGAAACTATGTGACAATCCCAACTTTTAGCTTAGAAGACACTCCAACATGATAAAACACACTAAAGCTCTAAAAGGGTATGCAAAGGCTTCACACAACAAAGGGAAAACAGGAGGAAAAGTAACGAAAGTAACAAAATCATCACAGTTTCAACTTGTTTTAAAGACCGCTGAAAGATCCTAGATGGTGAACCTAAGTTCATTATCTCTGCAAAGGCTAATTTTTCCTCTTTCATTTGAAGATGTGTTTAAAATGTTGTGTTCTATTCTTGGTTCTGAAATGGGTGATCTGGGCAAGTCAAGTCTCAGTTTGCTCAGATAAAACAAGTTTGGCTCATTAGATGAATTTTAGTATACCTCCTAACTCTAAAATAATGTGACTGGACAAGACAAGAGAGTCATTACCTTATTGTAACCACTGACGGGCGAGTAGGTCACTCCAGGGCTATAAGAACCACTGCCACCTGAGGACAGACTTTGCAGCTGAGGGCTGTAACCAGTCATACAGCTGGTGGTGAACTTGGGACTGGTACTGGGCGAACGAGATGGGCTATAACTCAACACACTCTGACCCTGAATTGAAGGGGAAGGTGGAGAGGGAGGGATTTGGCTTGCTGCCAGATCATGTGGAGGAGTAGTCTGTACAACTAGAAGGAAAAAAAAACAACATATGTGTATGTATGCACAAAGAAAATTTCTATGAAAATATATTTAAGCAACTAAGTCATTTTTTTTTTCAGGGAAAAAAGTTAACAGAGTGACTTGGTTGTTAAATCACAGAAAGTATTATTACCAAAGGACCAAAGGACACAAATTAGGTGTTTACTATTTCCAGAGTTCAAAATTAGAAACTGGTTTCAACTCAGCAAGAGTCATTTAATTTTAATTGTACCCGAACAATGGAACAAACTTCCATGAAACAGCTGAATGTATACAAGTAGGAAATGATAGTCATTGGTCATAAGACTATTGTATCGTTTAGGATAACTGATGTCCCTTCCAGCTCTGAGTCTATGAAATGGGAAAATTAAATTGAGAAAGATTTATTGGCAACCTTTTCCCCACGTTTGCAAGAGATATAAAACACTCACCAGCTGTTTTCAACCCTAAAAGTGTTTGCTGTCCAGGACTAACAACCAGACTTGTTGGTGCCACAGTATATTTAAAATATCTCCAAAAATCAAATAAGGCATTAAGGCTGAAGAGAGATGCAAGGGCAAGCTCTGGAAGAGAACAATTTATTTTTTTATAAAACGGGGGTGAGGAGGGCATCTACTGGAGAACACAAAAACCTGCTATACTTAGCAAACTAAAATTACTTTCTCATTCTTACCTTATCGCTCATAAAATCTGTAATTTAATCAACGTCTACTCTGTGTGGGGTGGTTGGGCCCAGTGGCTCACGCCTGTAATCCCAGCATTTTGGGAGGCCAAGGCGGTGGATCACCTGAGGTCAGGAGCTCGAGACCAGCCTGGCCAACATAGTGAAACCCTATCTCTACTAAGAACACAAAAATTAGCCAGGCGTGGCAGCGTGCACCCATAGTCCCAGCTACTTGGGAGACTGAGGCAGGAGAATGATTGAACCTGGGAGGCAGAGAAATGGTGCCACTGCACTCCAGCCTGGGTGACAGAGCAAGACTCTGTCTCAAAAAAAAAAAAAAAAAAAAAAAAGGTACAGATGTAGAGAGGGCATTTCAGGAGAGTAACAAAACCAAATCTCACTGACCTCTAAAGTTATTTTTCCTCACATAACTCATAATTACCTGATAACGTGTTGTTTACTGATTGTCTCTCTAATAAAATGTTCCTTTCATAATAACAGGGTTTTACCTTGCCCCCTTTCTGCTGTATTCCCAGTTTTTACAACCCAGCAGGCAGTCACATACTTGTTGAATAAGGAAATGCATACTAAGCTGAATTAAACCTGAAAGCAGTTTTTCATTGGTAGTAAATTTAAGTTACAGTGAAAATTAATTACTTACCAATATACCAGAGAGGCCAGTATGTCACATTGTAATATGAACTAATCAATTTTCCAGTCCTAAAAGAAATTAGAAAGGGTTTCCAATGAACTTGAAGACACCAAAAATCGAAACAAACACAGAAACCTGTGGAACCAGCATTGGTTTCTTACATTTTCAATTTGGGTTGATTCACTTACATTTCAGTGTATATCATACCAGCCATAGATACATTTAGGAGTCCCCAGGCCAAAACCACTTTCCTAGCCTCTGTTTCTTTCCTCATCTTGATGGTTCTGTCAATAAGGGAAGCACTAGGGTGTGTCTCCCCCTGCATCTATGAAAAAACAAAAAGCACAGGGATTAACCAAAATTTAAAACCAAATATTGCATCTCGTATAAAGGTAAATGAAACTGCATATACTTTCTCTCATCTTTAAAATGTCTTACCAAAACTTTTTCCATTTTAGTATCAGTATATGGAAAGGGAACCAGAAATTATACCTTCATTGGCATTACAGTGTAATCAACAGAGAAGTGGCTGGTTATTTAAGAACAATTTGAGGCCGGGCTGGGTGGCTCACGCCTGTAATCCCAGCACTTTAGGAGGCCGAGGAGGATGGATTACGAGGTCAGATCAAGGCCATCCTGGCTATTACAGTGAAGTCCCACCTCTACTAAAAATATATTTTTAAAAAGTTAACTGGGAGTGGTGGCACTTGCCTGTAGACCCAACTACAAGAGAGGGTGAGGCAAGAGAATCGCCTGAACCCGGGAGGCGGAGGTTGCAGTGACACTGTACTCCAGCCTGGGCGACAGATCGAGACTTGTCTCAAAAAAAAAAAAAAAAAATTAATACTTCCAATACGTAAAAAATGTCTTATTTTGTAATTTAAGGGTTGGTGATTATGTCTGCATATACTTTGTATTTTGTCTTTGGAGGATGTTACAAGGAGTAGAGAAGTCTAATTTCAGAACTCAAAATCAAGTTTTGGGAGAATATATTCCCTATCTGTTGTAAGTCATAAAGACTCTCCGACATCCTCATGCAGATGCCGTTACTATCTAAACAACTTTGCACGTGGACGGCTGTACTCCAGGGATCTCCCTTGTGTGTGTGGATAAAGGATAAGGATTTAAGTTTTAGTGATGCGGTGGTGAGGGGAATAGGAGGGAGAGGGGAAAACGTGCATTCAGTTTTGGTCCACGTTGGGATTTATAATTCCTTTGTTCAGCTAGGCTCAACTCTTACAGACAGTAAAAAACTTGTTTCAGTGACGAGTAGTATCCCACAGAGCACAGAGCAATGGCCTTCGCGCCACTCTGCCCCCGCGTCCCAACTCCCCATTCCAGAGCTTCCCTCCCCGGCTCCCTCCGCATGAACTTCCAGCAACCCTATTACTTCTTTCTTCCCTTCCCCTAGAGTGGCGGGACGCCTAATCACATCCTCCCTTGGCTGAACCCCGGACAGATCAGCAGGCGCGGAACTCCCACACCCCGCATGGACTCCAAGACAGGAAGCACAAACATGACCCCGAAAACGCACCATGTCCTCTGGCCGGAAAACGGGGGCTCCCGCCACTCTTTACTGCGCATGCGCGAAGCCAAGCGCAAGAGGGAGGTGACTGGCTGGCGGCTCTAAAGTTACCGGAAGAACTGCGCAGCCTCTTCTCGCGAGAAAGGGAGGGGTCGCGGGCCAGGTCGCTCGAACGTTACCAGGGAAACAGGTCTGGGTTTAGTGGCTCCCACTGAACTGCGGGAGAAAACTGAGCAGCAAAATTCAGACTAGGTTCTGAACCTGCAGTAAAAAGTAATAATTATAACAAGCTGAATTTTGTATCTATTAATATAATTTTAGCTTCCCTAGGCCATTTATGGACTGACATGTGTAAACTGATTAGGCAGAGTGGCTCACCGTAGGATGGAGTGCGTGATAGGGTGGCCAGACACCATCAATGACAAAGCAGTGACAAAGTATTTCTTTCCCCTGTGTTAAAATGTCTATATCAAGAGTTCTGACCCCATGTAAATTCTTTTTTTTTTTTCAGTAAAGACGGGGTTTTGCCATGTTGACCAGGCTGGTCTCGCCTGATCTCAGGGGATCCGCCTGCCTCGGCCTCCCAAAGTGCTGGGATTTACAAGCGTGAGCCACTGCGCCTGGCCTAAATTCTAAATAACTGTGTAATAGGGTGCAGTAGTAACAAGCACACCCAAAATTTGTTTTATTGAAGTTGCTAGTGGTTTTGAGGTTAAAAAAAAAAACACATTTTCCTGCTTTTTTTTTGGAAGAACTTCTCATCCTGAGGAAAAGGTTGAGCTTGGTTTTATTTAGCACAAATACCTACCAATGTGCCGCTGAGCCAGGCGCAGGGATATAGAAAATAAGAGCTCTGGGCCGGGCGCGGTGGCTCAAGCCTGTAATCCCAGCACTTTGGGAGGCCGAGGCGGGTGGATCCCGAGGTCAAGAGATCGAGACCGTCCTGGTCAACATGGTGAAACCCCGTCTCTACTAAAAATACAAAAAATTAGCTGGGCATGGTGGTGCGTGCCTGTAATCCCAGCTACTCAGGAGGCTGAGGCAGGAGAATTGCCTGAACCCAGGAGGCGGAGGTTGCGGTGAGCCGAGATCGCGCCATTGCACTCCAGCCTGGGTAACAAGAGTGAAACTCCGTCTCAAAAAAAAAAAAAAAAAAAGAAAATAAGAGCTCTCTGGTTACTGCCCACGGGAGCTCAATTCTGGCAGAAGCCCACAAGTGCACTTCGAAGGCAGATGAGGTGGGTGCGATGCGCCCCAAGGAGGCACGTCCAGCCCAGCCCCAGCTCCCGCGAACTTCCTAGAGGACATGACGTGTTAGAGTCAACAACCAGAAGCCCAGAGTCTGAGGATTGTTCCGAAGTGTGCCTCCTAAGAAAAACATTAAGCCATGTCACAATAAGCTAGTGGATTATTACGTCATGTATGTCCAATGGCCGAAGTTTTTCCTAAAATGATCCTAAGGTTAATACCACGTTTTATTGTATAGTAATGAAAATTGGCAGGTATGCTATACTCTTAAAGAGCTAACTTTTTAAAAGTAAGTTTTATCATTTTTGGATTGCGTTAGCAGCAATGTTGTTTTGCTCTAGTTTTAGATTTAGAGAAGAACGAACTTTAAAATTGTTAAAAGTGAAAGGGCTCCAGGTGCAGTCAAAATCAGAATACTGGTTGGGAGGCCGAGGCGGGTGGATTATTTGAGGTCAGGAGTTCAAGACCAGCCTGGCGATATGGTGAAACCCCGTCTCTTTTCTAAAAATAAAAAAGCCCGCGGTTGTGGTGTGCGCCTGTAATCCCACCTACTCGGGAGACTGAGGCAGGAGAACTGCTTGAGCCTGCGAGGCGGGGGTTGTGGTGAGCCAGGACGGTGCCACTGCATTCCAGTCTGGGAGACAGAGCGAAACCCTCTCAAAAAAAAAAAAAAAAAAAAAAAAATAGAATACCGGTTTCCCACCTGCTTTATATATGACTCTTTCCTAAGAAGCAATTGTATGCATTTGATGTAGTTTATAAAGCACATCCGTGTTTTTCCCTCTTAATGTAATCCATAAGCTATTGTGCATTTATTCAAGGTTTAAAAAAGAACACTACTGATCAAAAGACAGTGGGCGATATGTATTAGGGCTGCCATAATGAAATATCACAGACAGGGTGGCTTAAACAACAGAAATTAATTTTTTCATAATTTTGAAGGCTGGAAGTCTAATATAAAATTTTCAGCATGTTTGGTTTCTCCTGAGGCCGATCTCCTTGCAAATGACCACCTTGTATTGTGGCCTTGATTTCTGTGCTCATGAATCCTTGCTGTCTTATAATGGTACCTGTTGTATTGGATTAGGGCCCTATCCATATGATCTCATTTAACTTTAATTACCTCCTTAAAGGTCCCGTCTCCAAATACAGTCACACTGGAGGTTAGGGCTTCAACATATGAATTTTAGAGAACATAGTTAAATCAGTAATACATTAGAACTGTCTATAATAATTTGCAATGGCATGCTACATATAAAAGAGACTGAATTAAAATGAGTGGACACCTTAAACACTTAGATGTAAAGGTAGGAAAATATATACAAGTTTTAGGGGAAAAAAAATTAAGGTAGAATGCATCATGTTGAGGTATGAGGGAAGATACCATAAACATTCGCAGAAGTAATTTAAATAAGCCTTCCACAAACTTAGAAATCCAAGAAGCATTTGTCAATTCCTAGAACAGTTGCTGAAGTATGTCATAATAGGTTGCCAAGGAAATTATCATACATCATGGAGGGAGTAAAGTAGTTCCCAGTCATCTTCATCCCTTTGAGCATGGTTTATTTTCTGAGCAAGAAACCATCATGGGAGACCTTTTTTCCTTATTTTGGGAGGTAGATCCTCCCCCCATACCTTTAAGTTTTGCCATTCCAAGTCAGGACTATGAATGCCGGAGGGATGACTCTTGTGGGACCATAGGGAGCTTCCTGCTTTGGTATTTTGTCATCATATTTGTCCTGATGTTCTTCTCTAGGGCTTCTGTCTGGGTAGGATATCTTTTTTCATTTTAAATAATATGTTTACTGTACACTAGGAAATGTTCCATAAAATACATTTACTGTACTTCGATGAAACTACTTTTTAGGAGTTGTTTAGTTTTAAAAAATAATACAATCTTATTCTAGAGAATCCAGGAATATAGAAAAGGATGAAGAGGAAAACATAAAACTACAGTTACCTTCTTTCCCAGAGATAACCACTGTTAACATTTTGGAGAATGTTCTTCCAGTTTGTTTGTTTGTTTTCTCTGTCTCTCTATCCCAAAATCTCTCTCTCCATTTCTCTTTGATCTTACACGGTTGGCATTATGTTGTATATATTTTCATATCCTGCTTTTTAAGCTTAATAAAATAGTGGAAATGCTTCTCTATATTCACTCAGCAGCACTTTTAATGACTGCATAATTTTCTGTCTTTTGATTGTACCAAAAAATTCTGCAAGTTTGAAACATTCAGATTGTTTACAGTTTGTCCGTATGCTATGTAATGCTGGCATAAACCTCCCTGCTGGCTAATGACTTCCAAATCCCTTTTCTAGCCATGTGATTCTAATCAAAGACACAAAAGTTGTCATATTGATAGGATACGTGCTGTAGGATTTGGGGATTTTTAGAATGAGGTAATACACTTTCCTGCATAGAATAAGATGCAAAAGTAAACAGAACTAAAGTCACTGCTAAAATGCCATTGTCTTAAGAATGAGCTATCCCACTTTATCAGGACTGTGATGCCTCCAACATATTATGAGTAACCAAGCTCTTTTTTTCTTGAGATGGAGTCTTGCTGTATCACCCAGGCTGGAGTGCAGTGGTGCAATCTTAGCTCACTACAACCTCCACCTCCCGGATTCAAGCGATTCTCCTGCCTCAGCCTCCCAAGTAGCTGGGACCACAGGCAAAAGTCATCACACTCTGCTAATTTTTGTATTTTTAGTACAGATGGGATTTCACCATGTTGGCCAGGCTGGTCTGGAACTCCTGACCTCAAGTAATCCACCCACCTTAGCCTCCCAAAGTGCTGGGATTATAGGCATGAGCTGGGATTACGGTGGGTTACACACCCACCTGTAACCAAGCTCTTATAATTCACTGACATGATATCCTTGCTGGCTATTAATACCAGGCTGATGATTAAGAAAACCACCATCATTTAGCATTATAGCCAGAGCCCTGGGCTGGCAGTGGTCAGTAAGGCTTAGTGCTCTATGAGCTCTGGATGGGGAGGGGAAGATTTGTTATATCCATGCCAGCTGGATTCCATTCTAATAATCAAAGTCTCTTTGGTGACCACCACCTCCTGATGCAGAAGAGGTTTCATCTAAAATCTTAATGCTTCTTAAGGTAAATACTTTGCCAAAAGGAGATTTAGAATAGTGATAGCTTGTATGTGTCTTAGACTCCCTAGCTAAGTATATTGAATTTGTCTGGCCTGGCAAGAAAAGCTACTTTAAAAAATTAACCAAAAAAAATTGAAATTGATCAGTGACAATTTCATCAAGAATTAAAAGGCCTAAGCTATTTTTCTGCTCCCTTGCTTGCATCAGCTCTTTGGAGTCATAGAGCCTTGAGCTTCCAGGACCTCAAGAGAGCATGTGGTCCAACCTCCTGTTTGTAGGCAAGTGAGTTATCGTTATCCTTCCCCCACTCATTTTTTACTGATAAGGCCCAAGGAAATTAAGTGACTTGTCCAATGTCACAAAAGTGGTTAGTGACAGAAGGAGAATAGACCCAGATTTCCTGTCATATTATTTGTTTGCTTCAAAGCATACTTTGAAACGTCCAGTTAAATCTACTCGCTCCTGATTAAAAACCTTAATTATTTTAGAGGTTTCGTCTTTCACTTTATACCCTTGTGGCAGCTACAATCGGCTGGACTGCTTCTTCTGAAGGGTCCCAGATTTGAAATCTGAGAACCATATGAGAGCTAGTAAAGGAGGATGGAATTTTTCCTTCACTTTGAACTTCTTCATTTTCTCTGCTAAACTCTGAGGCTTTATTTGCAAACCTTGAAGTAATGGTAAAAGCGCAATGGAAATGTGGTGGTAATTATCCTCCAACAGGCAGCACGCCGATTTCCTCTGAATTAGCCACTTTTTAAAGCGGCATTTACCCTTTTGCTTTCAGACTATAAATACTATATTTAGTTTATATGTTTATTTCGTGTTTATTCAGATTGCTAGTGAAGGTATTTTTCTGGACAACAGTAGTCCAAACTCCTTATTTTGCTTATGTGGAAACCGAACTTAAGAGGTGCTAAGTGGCTTGGAAAAATCACAGAGTCACTTAGTGGCAGAAAGAGAGCCAGGGCCCACATTTTCTACTCTGCCCCTCAGGGCAGGCAGTTCTGCTGTTTTCACTCACTGAGTCACACACAAAGACAGTTAATAAAATGCTTTTCAGAACCACAGTTCATATGATTCCACTTAGCTTAATGCAAAATCTTTCTTTTGATTTTGTGGTTATTTTTTGATTTGACATCAAATGTGAGAGCTTTCTGTGGATATGACATAAGCCTAATAAGCGTTTTTAAGCACCTTCTCTCGTCTGTTACAAAAGTACACATTATATAGAAAATGTGGAAATGATAGGACAGAGACAAAACAAAATAAAAATCACTCTAAATTATGCAGAAATAACCAACTACTGTTAACTTTTAGGTTTATAGACTTCCAGTCTTTTGGTTTTCTTTACACATGTTAAATTTATCTTTTTTCTTTTGTATAACCTAATCTAAATGATACATATTAAATTTAAAATATTTAGCCCCTTCCAAAAGTATTTTTAGAAAGCAGTATCTTAAAAGAGAACTCCACTTTCAAGGTCTTTGGAATGATTGCTGTAACCCAGAAAGCAAAAAGGTACCTCGTTAAAGATGCTTGCCTACCATTGCAGAGATCAGATATTAAGAAACAAATGAGCTGAGGATCTTAAATTGCAGTTACAAATACCCAAGTATGGCACTTTTCAACCCAAAGAAATTTGACTTCCGTATAAACTCATTTTGTTCCTTTTTCTTTCTTTCTTTTTTCTTCTTCTTTTTTTTTTTTTTAATAGAGACGGGGTTTCTTCATGTTAGTCAGGCTGGTCTCGAACTCTCAACCTCAGGTGATCCACCCGCCTCGGCCTCCCAGAGTGCTGGGCTTACAGGTGTGAGCCACCGTGCCTGGCCTCATTTTGTTCCTAATTATAGACAGTTCGAAAAATTAGAAGAGAAAAAGTCCATTTCACCACTTAAAGCCAACCATTGCTATCACTTTTATATGCTTCTTAAAATCTTTTTTTCCCATATTTTTAGCTGACTTGTGCTCATACTGTATCTATAAATTTGCATTTTGATGTTTAACCCAGTATGGTAGCACACTTATTTCCTCATGTTATGACATACTTTAATTGTAATAATTTTATAACTATTTATTATATAATTGGACTATAATTTACTTAAACCATTGTCTACTTTTGAACGTTATATATCCTAATTGTGCTGCGATGAATGTTTCTATGCACAAAGCTTTCTTTTGAGGGTTATTTCTTGCTGATAGATTCCTGGAGAGAGAATTATATGTCAAAGGTGTTAATGAAAATTGCTAGTTTTTGTTATTTTCTGAAAGAGTTGGTTTATATCTCTGTCTTTTGGCAAAAGCACTTTCAGCATCAGAAAGTGGGACGGTAATCTGAAAAGTGGGACAAATATATTTATGGAGTATTGAGGCAGAGTATTTGAAATTAGAACTATTCAAAGAAATCCATTTCTCCTGGTTCCCATATTCACAAATAATATATTATGGTTGCATTTTGGAGGAAACTTTCGGGGGGATTAAGAAGATATGAAGTTCATGAATGCAGGTAAAGATCTTAGTGTATGTAGATGTCTTCTATCTTAAATAACTATCAATGATGTACCCTGATCAAATGTCCTTTAAAAACTAATCTGAGTACTATCAAAATTTTTTAAACAGTATTTCTCTGTAATATAAATGGGTACGGGAAAACTTTATAAGCTATAGCTCCTTATCAGTTTATTCTCTCTCAAGTCTGTTCCATTTTGCTTGGTTCAAAACATTTTGGTAGATTCTGCTATCAAAGCATAGTCTTAAAGGGAAGTGGAAGTAAGATCACTACAACAGGAACTCAATACATACTTCATTAGCTTATTATTTAACTCAGTAAGTACTTGTTTAAACTGAATGTTTAAAATTAGACATTGTCAGTCCAGGCACGGTGGCTCATGCCTGTAATCCCAGCACTTTGGGAGGCTGAGGTGGGTGGATCACTTGAGGTCAGGAGTTTGAGACCAGCCTGGCCAACATGGTGAAACCCCATCTCTACTAAAAATACAAAAATTAGCTGGGCATGGTGGTGGCATGCCTGTAATCCCAGCTACTTGGGAGGCTGAGGCAGGAGAATTGCTTGAACCCGGGAGATGGAGGTTGCAGTGAGCTAAGATAGTGCCACTGCACTCCAGCCTGGGCGACAGAGACTCTCAAAAAAAGATAATAATAAAATGAAATTAGACATTGTCAATGGGCCTTGGCAATAGTGTATTTTTAACAAATAGATATTAGTGAAAAATAACTGAGATCACTCTTACTAACCTATATTTCTGAAACAGATGTCTGAGGATAAAAAGGATGAAGACAGTGAGACAAGTGCTTCAGTAAGGAAAGGTGAGAAGCAGTGCATATTTGGTATTGGACTGTGAGGGGAAAAATATGTGTGGTGTTGCACACCTGTAGGCCCTGGCAATTCAGGAGGCTGAGGCAGGAGGATTGCTTGAGCTAAGCAGTTCAAGACCCTAGCCTGAGCAACATAGTGAGACCTAGTATCTAAAAAAAAAAAAAAGAAAGAAAGAAAGAAAGAAAGAAATTTGTGCTGAGTGTGAGAAGCAAACAACAGAGATGAACAGCCAAGAGCATTGTAAGACTTTGCACACTAGAGAAGGCCCATTGGGATTAAGTGAGTTCTTGCTTTTGGACTCCCTAGTGCAGAGGGACAGTTTAGCTGCTTGGCTAGAAACTATGATGTACTGGGAGGTGGGTGCTCAAGTTCTCTTTTCACTCCTTAGCACTCTCTTTTCACATTGCTTGCCCTTCCCACACACTTATTGTTAGTGTTATTACAGGATTATGAGCTGTCTATGACATCTTTTCAACAATCTATAAGCTGTTGTGAGCCAGTAAATGTTTAACAACTGGCTGTCCCAAACTCGTGTGTGTACATATGTTTATTAAAAATTTTGGCTGGGCATGGTGGCTCGTGCCTGTAATCCCAGCACTTTGGAAGCCTGAAGCAGGTGGATCACCTGAGGTCAGGAGTTCGAGACCAGCCTGGCCAACATGGTGAAACCCTGCCTCTATATTAAAAAAAATTTATTTTTAATGATATAAAGGTTGCATATCATCTCAGTACCTCTGGAGGCTGAAGCAGGAGAACTGCTTGAGGCCAGGAGTTCAAGAACAGCCTGGAGAACATAGCAAAACCCTATCTCTTGAAAAAAGAAAATTAGCTGGCATGGTTGTTCACACCTGCAGTCTCAGCTACTCAGGAGGCTAAGGCAACAGAATCACTTCAGCCTAGGAGTTTGAGGCTGCCAGTGAGCATGATCGTGCCACTGCACTCCAGCCTGGGCAACAGAGTGAGTCCCTGACTAAAAAAATTAAATACATAAATAAAAGATATATATTACATTATTTATAAATAATAAAATACACAAGACTCCTTATGGTCAATTTCATATAGAAAACCGATTCTCTCAAAACACTCTCCTTGATTTTTTTTTTTTTTTTTTTTTTTTTGAGACGGAGTTTCGCTTTTGTTACCCAGGCTGGAGTGCAATGTCCCTATCTCGGCTCACCGCAACCTCCGCCTCCTGGGTTCAGGCAATTCTCCCGCCTCAGCCTCCTGAGTAGCTGGGATTACAGGCACGCGCCACCATGCCCAGCTAATTTTTTTTTGTATTTTTAGTAGAGATGGGGTTTCACCATGTTGACCAGGATGGTCTCGATCTCTTGACCTAGTGATCCACCCGCCTCGGCCTCCCAAAGTGCTGGGATTACAGGTGTGAGCCACCGCACCCGGCCTTGATTTTTGCGAGATCCTTGAATGCTTAGCCAACCCCTGGCTGCAATTGATTAACAAGTATAGTTCCTTCATGGAGTTAAGGAGTGAGATGAAAGTGAAGCAGAAGATGTATGTTGGAACTTAACTTGGTTGTCAGTGATGTAAGTGACTTCTTTACTGGAATGGATAATAGTTTTAAAATACTGGAAGAATATTTCTTCATTTTGGAGTGTTAGTCACAATGTAATGGCTATAGGGATGACACTGAAATGTAATCTGCATTAGTAACATGTTCTCCATTATTTTCTTAAGCCTAGACGATCAACAAAGCCATACATCAAGCCCTGATGTTTAGTGTTTGCTGGTTTTCATGGTATAAATACTTCCATCAAAGCTGGTTTTAAGCCACCCACATCATGTCACTGAACATGGAGTTGGGAGGAGATGTGCAGTACAGCACGCTTAACACAGTATTTCCAACATACAAATACAGCAGACATAAAAAACCAGAAGAGCACACAGCATAATCAAATGTAGTAAGATAATTAGGAAGTGATGGGTTTTGAGTACTTATTACTATCATTTTTAGCAATTGAATTTATCGTAAGTTGGTATAATTTAATTTTTAATAATGGCTATGTATAACCAACTCGCAAAATTCCTGAAAGTTTATCAGCTCTTCTGAGTGGGTACGAGCCAACTTCAGCATACCACTACATAAAGGAAAGATCCTTCTTAGTTCCTGCTCTGCAAATCACATTCCTAAGTACATGCTTGAATCTTTAAGACTTCAATTTTCAAAGGAAAAAAAAGGTTCTTTCCTGGAAAAGTTTAGAGATCTTTTCCTTTGATCTTATGTCTAGGATCCACAAAACTTCAAAAGTGGTATGTCAAGCATCTAGCTAAGCTTTCTTGTCTGCAGGAGTTGGGGCATGGTACTGGAAAACGCAGTCAGCTGCCAACATTTGCAGGCAACTGGAGAAAAGCAGTGGCTTGACAACTGGCCACTAAGAGTGAGCTCACACATGCACAGATTTCTTAAGTAATATGAATTTATAGTAATCAACAATGTGACTAGCTTGATTTGTTTCATTGGCTGTTAGCAGGCAAAGAGACTTCCTATCAGTGGCAAAGCGAAGATGGTGCCTGGGATTCTTTACAAACAATGAAGAAACCAAAGCAGAACCAACTTACTCCTGTAACCAACTCAGAAGTGGCTTTGGTCAATGCCTATCTTGAACAAAGACGAGCCAGGTGCCAGTCTCAGTTCAATGAGGTAAACCAGGACCAACGTGACAGTGATACTACGGAGTGTGGCAGTGAAGAATCTAACTCAGGAGCCTCCTCGTGGAAGGAGAGTGAAAGTGAACACTACCCATCACCAGACAGTATTAAGAGGAGAAAAATGGCTCAGAGGCACAAGAATCTGGGAAGTTACCAAATGAGAGAAAGGCCCTGCCTCCATTGCAAAGCCATGAGAACCAATGAATGGTTGGTGCACCATTTCCTACAAAAGGCTTCGGTAGCACCCTCAGTGAAAGGAGACAGTCAAGGGGAAAGTTCCACACCTGACATTCATAAAATTCAGTAAAATCTGAATTTTATTACATTATTCCCTTACTTGAAGCCAAATGAAAGAGATGAATAAAACGTGAAAAATCACCAGCGCTCTAGGTGAGGAGACTTTCACAACAAATTCTCTCTAACAAACGAAAACATACTTGGAACCCAAGAGGTAAAATCTTACACAATTCTTTGTTCCAAAAAAAAAAAAGCCATCTCAAATGTGTTTATGGCACCATTGGAACGCCGAAGATCTGTATCCACTATCATTTTTTTCATTTGAAACAGCACAAGACAGATATTTTATGCCTTGAGTGTATATATTTTATGTCTGTAATACAAATAAGAAAGCTTTTTGAAAATATCTATGTTGAGAAACTACTTAAATGTTCAGATGTTTTGCTTATCTGACTGACTGAATGAGCTAGGTGAAGTTGGTTGGAGTAGAATTGCCCCATCCTCTCTAGGTTTGACCCTACAAGAACTGTATTGCCATACATGTCAGCTAGGGGCAGGTGAGGAAGAGGAGCTCAAGAAGCTGGAATAAGATTTGATTCCTAGAGTAGGGAGGAGAGGCAGCATGACCCAAAAGACAGTTGGGTGGTGGCCTACCCACGGTTGTCATCCAAAGTGCATGGGAAGTGTTAAAGGAAAAAGTATTCTCCACCCGGAATACAATAATGACAAGTGGGGATTTATAGCCAAGGAGCAGTAGGAGGATGTCACAGGATGGGAATTACTAAAGGGAGACATCAAACATAGGGCGATTCCTGCTAAGTGACCTAACAGGATTGATGCTAAAGGAAGGCCAAGGACTTACACATCAAAAGTGGGGAATGAGGCTGGGTGCAGTGGCTCACACCTGTAATTCTAGCAATTTGGGAGGCCAGGGCAGTCGGATCACCTGAAGTCAGGAGTTTGAGACCAGCCTGGCCAATGTGGTGAAACCCCGCCTCTACTAAAAATACAAAAATTAGCCAGATTTGGTGGCACATGCCTGGAGTCCCAGCTCCTCAGGAAGCTGAGGCACAAGAAAAACTTGAACCCGGGAGGTGGAGTTTGCAGTGAGCTGAAATTGTGCCTCTGCACTCCAGTCTGGGTGCTAGAGAGAGACTCAGTCTTTAAAAAAAAAAAAAAAAAATGGAGAATGAAGAATTTATCAGTTACTAAGGATGGGGGTACTCTCGGTAAACTTATCCAGCAGGATTCTTGGCAAAATTGGGTTGGGCAGGTCAAAGACAGGATGGGGCCAAGGTCGAGGCCTAGTTGAGGAAGAAGGCTCAGAGGAGCCTGACTGAAGTTTGGCCAAAGGGAGAGTCTTTGTCACAAGTTAGGCTCAATCCAGGCATAGTTGGGGCTAGGTTTTCCAGTTAAGTGGGAAACACAGCTGTGGGGAATGTAAGCAGGCCTAGGTAGATGGGTGGCCAATCTGGAAATCATCTTCCCAGAATAGGAATGAAAAATAGGGTGGATGGGCCAGGCATGGTTTCTCACGCCTGTAATCCCAGCACTTTGGGAGGCCAAGATGGGCAGAGCACCAGGGAAGGAGTTCGAGACCAGCCTGGCTAACATGGTGAAACCCCATCTGTACTAAAAATACAAAAATTAGCTGGGCGTGGTGGTGCATGCCTGTAGTTCCAGATACTCGGAGGCTGAGGCAGGAGAATCCTAAAACCCAGCAGGCGGAGGTTGCAGTGAGCCGAGATTGCAACACTGCACTCCAGCCTGGAATGAGACTCTGTCTCCAAAAAAGAAAAATAAGGTGGATGACAGGACCCCAGCTGGGACAGAAAACAAAGTCCAGATCCCAGAGGAGAGGCTGGCGAGGAAAAGATGAAGCAGCAGGGACCCTTATCATGGGGCTACAGTTCAAAGCAGGGTTTGAGTCTTGGGGAAAGGCTGGGTGCAGTGGCTCACGCCTGTAATCCCAGCACTTTGTGAGGCTGACAGGAGGATCCCCTGAGTCCAAGAGTTCGAGACCAGCCTGGGCAAAATGGTGAGATCCTGTCTCCATTAAATAAATAAATAAAAAGTCTTGGGTAAGGTCTTGGGTACTATGTATGGTTAAGACCACAGCCTAATACTAAGGACAGAGCCTTTCATGGGAGACGGGGAGGGGATGGGGACAGAGACCAGAGAGCTGTGACTTTGGGCCCAGGAGTCATTCCTGATAAGAGCAGATTCTTCAACTGAATGCAACAAAGATCCCTGAGAGACAACGAGGGAGTCCCAACGACTGGGACTAGGCTACTAGAATCCAGGAAATGGGGTAATATTTCTGAGCCTATTTGTGGAGGCTTTGTCTTATTCAGATTGCCTCAGGATTAGAACAGGTCTGAAGGAACAGGTGAGAAGCAGTGAAGCTGTCCTCACAGGGTTAATGAGAATTCTAGACAGAACTATAGCTATAAATAAGCACTAATCAGGCTACCCTTTGTCCTACTTCCTTGTAACACAAAGTCACTACAAACGGGGACCATTTGTATCCCCATTGTTCCTACAGATGGGATTTTTGACATTAGAATTTTAAGTCTTTTGTTTAAGAACTGCTTAAGATGTTTTTCAGATCCCAGATTCTAAGAAACAGCTAATGCTAACCAGTTTGAAGAACCCCACAGAGGAATACAATCAGCATGAGAATCATCATCTCCCTGTCCCATGACTTCCTCTGCACTCTTTGACCCCTCAGTGATCTCCACACTTTGGCCCACTCCATAGTCCTTCAAAACCTAGCCCCAAGGCCGGACGCAGTGGCTCATGCTTGTATTCCCAGCACTTTGGGAGGCCGAGGCAGGTGGATCACCTGAGATCAGGAGTTCAAGACCATCCTGGCCAACATGGAGAAACCCCATCTCTACTAAAAATATACAAAAAAATTAGCCAGGTGTGGTGGTGGGCACCTGTAATCCCAGCTATTCGGGAGGCTGAGGCAGGAGAATCACTTGAACCCAGGAGTTTGAGGTTGCAGTGATTGGAGATTGTGCCATTGCACTCCAGCCTGAGTAAAAAGAGCGAAACACCATCTCAAAAAACAAACAAAAACAACCTAGCCCCTAAATCCTCAGGGAGATGCATTGGAGGTTCCCTGTCATCTCCTCATTTGGCAGACCTATGATTAAACCTTTCCCTGCTGCAACCTGGTGTCTCAGTGTATTGACTTGTTGCATGTGGAACTGCCTTTGCAAAATTGTGACAGTAAGAGAAATCTGATATAGTTAACTCCATCTTGCTTCTGACCTTTATGCCGTCCTTAGCCATTCCTGGGCATAGGCCAAGCTAACTTTGGGAGGAATTTACAATTTAACCTTAACACAAGGATGATAATACCCCTTCCCCAAATTAAACCACCTCTGTAAAAGTAATGAAAGACCACAAAATTAGGATTATGAGAGGATCCTGAATTCTGATAAGATGTAAGCACAGTTTCTGTAAACCCTTACTGCTTAGGAGTCATGTGGCCTGAGATGACAAGGTTTGTGTTATCCTCATTGCTTCTATATATAACATCACCATTGCTCCTATAAATAACATCATCGTTGTAGAACCTAAAATTGGTTTTTTGAGATGTCTTTCAGACTGACCCCACCCAGATCTGTGACTCATGACTCAATTGGTCCTGCGACCCCACACAGAGGCAGACGGGGTGCATGAGGACTATTTCCCACACTCCTGTGATTTCATCCCCAGTCAATTGGCAGCACCCATTCCCTAGACCCCTGCCCACCAGTTTACCTATAAAACCCCAGCCCCGAAGCCTTTTTGAAGACTGATTTGAGTGATAACTCCAGTTCTTCTGCATGGCCAGCCTCAGTGTCAAACTCTTTACTGCAATGCTGTGGTCTTAGTGAATTGATTTTATCTAGGCAGCAAGCAGGAAGAACCTGTTGGGTGAATATACACTTATCAGGCAGCATACCTATTATGGTTATAGCAAAACAACTTTGAGATTCAGTTCAAGCATCGACCTTTTCCACAAAAACGTTCCTTGCCCCTTGACACCCTCCTCCACTTCGTTCTCTCAGACAGAACCCACTTTGCCCTCCCTTATTCTCCAGTGTGCCCTGAAAAGCTCTTTCTCAGCATCTTTAATTAACATTTATTTTTTATTTTTTATTTTTTTTAAGACGGGGTTTCACCATGTTGGTCAGGCTGGTCTTGAACTCCTGACTTCAGGTGATCCACCCACCTTGGCCTCCAAAGTACTTGGATTACAGGCATGAGCCACCACGCCCGGCCTAATTAACATTTTGATGAATGCATTTGTTTGCAAGTCTCTGTCCCCTACATATATTTATCCACCCTTTAAGGTAGTCCATGATTTGTCATTTTTGTATCTCTATAGCCTAGCACAGTGCCAGACAACATGACAGATAAATAATGCGGTTGAATCAATATATTATACAAAGAGATTCATGAATATAAAATGCTGTTAGGGGAGCTGGGGAATCAATAGCAGAGGAGTCAGGACAGGGGCCAGTATTCACAACTTAGTGAATAATTCTATTTCCAGCTTGATATGATCAAAGTGCTTAAATTATCCTAAGCAGTACCCTCCCTCCAAACGGCAACAACCAAAGAACCAAGTTTAAAATACAGCAGCAAGTTGCAGAGGAAAGATTTAGACTCAAGTCATCTTGCTTCAGAGTTTGGACTCTTAATTACTATGACCTTAATCATTATCTGAAGATAGACAGTATGATTTCCAGGTAAGTTAATCACCACTTCTCACACAGTCATAAATGATGTTCAAGCAGATACAACCTCACCAGTATCTATTGGAAGATGTGGACAATGGCGATTTTCCAGATAACAAAAGTAAGGCCGTGTGCCCCCAAATGTTTTGCTTGTAGATCTAGAATATAAAACAATGACACTATTATGCAAAGAGTCATTTACATCAAAGAGTACTACTTTTCCTGGTCTCATTCATAGGACTAGAAGAGTTGGGGGGCTGAAGAGGGCTGCCTACAGGAAAAAGGAATCAGGATTAAGTATGGGGGAATTATAAATCCTATAGTATGGGGAGAGGGGTTTGCCGTACTATAGGATTGAGTACATGAAACTGTGAGTACATGAAACCAAAAAGAGGTGAAACATAGCGGGGAGGATTATCCAGAGCCAAGGAGAGAATTGCACCAAATAAAAGGGACAAGGCAGAAACATGGTAGGATGAGAAGCAAAAGCATAGGCAGGTGCTTTGGAACTGGATCA